TAGAACAGGCACAATTTAGATTCCAATTCTGCATTCTCCCCGGCCCAAATCATTGTACTTATTTTCCTCTTTGATACCCTTCCTGACCCACGGCTATATTTAGAGGTGCTAGAATATCTGTGCTTCCACTTGCATCCCTAACTTGTTGGCAATTTCTCTCTTCAACTGTGTCCACTGTTGCTTCCATATCCATGTCTCATTTGGTCAATCAGGGGCTTTCTTCAGTTCTCCTGTATCCACTGGCATTACACACATAGAAACACACACTGACACACAAATACAGACAGACACACATACACACAGATACATACTTAGACACACACTGACACACAGATGCACACTGACACAGAGATATACACACATAGACACAGACATGCAAATACACACAGATATACAATGACACACAGAATCACAAACACACAAATACACACACACAGACACACTGACACACACATGCTCGTTAATTTTTTTAGCTACCCTCTTGTTTCTTTCTTTTTGGGTTCAGAACGGTTGCTTTTGCTGGCTGATATTTTTTTTTTTCTTTTGAATTTAATGAATAATTGAATAATAACTCATAATAATAATTCAATGTTGTATTTTTCTTCTTTTGAATTTGCTTCTAGGGCAACTGACTCTGTGATCCCGTCCATGCTATCCCACTACCTGTGTCTGCCCTTTCTGCCGTTTATTGCAGTAAAAATGAATTTAACTGAATAGGAATACAGCCTTTTGATAATTGTGTTGCACAATGATTGGTTGCTTAGTTCATAATTTGATGATCTTTTTGCCAGCTATAAATCATTTTTGTCTAGTAATAGGATTTCCATCATTATTTTCTGTACTTTGAGTATTTGGTTGTACATTTCCATCAGATGGTTCTTGATTTCATCCATTTTGTTGAATCCAGACAAGATGAAATCAACTCTAGATTCTCTTTAATTCTAAAGCTATAATGCAACATCCTAAAAGAGCAATTGTTTGCAGAGGTTCTCTGGAATAACTGAAACATAAATCAGGCATTTCTGCTTGTTTTTGAATTGTGCGAGATAAACACCAGTTATCTAAGAACATGGTGGCAATTGTGAGAACTTTGGCTTGCATATAATGAAATATGATATTGACTGAATCAAACCTGTTTTTATTATTGACACTTGACAATCATATGGTATAGACACACAATTAACAAGTTTATAAACAGTTGCAATATCTTACAGTAGCAAACAGGAAAAAGGAGCTTCTAAATGCTAACTTACAAGCAACGCAGAACAGATTTGATCTGAAATATCTTTTATTCAAACAGAATACTTGGAGCCTTACAAACACCTTAAATGTCATACCTGATGTTGTACTACCCTTCCCAAACCTCCTATTATTTTTGAAGTCAAAGTATTTTGATTGACAGTACAAAGTCCACACACTGAACTAGATGGCTGCTGCATAGGAATGAACAATAAGGAACTAATCTGTCGGTGAAATGTTTAATGTTATGTGATTTAAACAAATGATAGTGTCAATCCTATTCCTATGATAACTGTAAACGCTGGTACTAAATGGTGTCTGGAATTTCAACTTTTAGATACACAGTACAGTTTGGATAATGTACATTGATAGAAGATACTTCAGAAATAAAGATACAGAACTTGGCTTAGATGTGACATAAATTATTTGATCTTGTTTTAAATAAAAGCCTAGACATTTTTAAATGCACTCTTGGTTAACGCATTGCTTTGTGTTTTCTATTTTCGTGTGTTTGTTTAAAGGGAGGCTCATTTACAACTTTGCCGCTACTTTTGCAGGGTAGCCGTAACTCGCTAAAATGTATGTCACTACAGTTAGATAGTAGTGCCTGGGTATCAACTGCAAAATGTTTACAGAAGTGACAGGGAGTTACCTGCAGGCGCTACTGAAAACCAGTCACTAAGTAGAAGCTAACAGCTAACATTATATTGTATAGGAACCACTAACTGTAACTTAGCATCTGCTTTCCAACCCGGTCACTTCTCATTACTAGCTGCCCTTAACCTAAAAAACTTATGATCAGCCTCTGAACTGGTGGAAATAAGTTAATGACAGCTGAGTTCCCTATATCCCCTTGGGAAAAAAAGTCTTGTTCTAAATCTGTTGCTAATTTTAACCAACCAATCAGCTGCTACTTGCCTGTCATTACTGGCTACACAGGGTGACGCGTGCATGCTCAGGTATGCATATGTGTTCCTCACTGGCCATCTTCTAATATGAAAATAGTTTTAGAACTAGCCCTTATTAGTGGTAAGCTACAAAAATTAACCAACAAGCTACTGTCTGTTGGTAATAATACAAATACAACAAAACAGTGTCTTTCAAAACATCACAAACTAAGAAGAAAGTGCACGTTTCAGATAACACTCTCCTTCATAAAGTGCTCAAATTCATATATTGGGACAATCAAACTTCCCTTTAGCAATAGAGTCACCCGAAGATCTCCTCAAATCCTCAATCAAATACAAGTGCAATATATAGGGTTAATTCAGCTAGGGAAAACAAGAACAGCACAACATAGTGCAAAACTGTATAATAAAGTGATGGTGTATTTTAAGTACCAATTGGTCACTCGTGTTTTGGAGCCAAATAAAGAGCCTTCAGAAAATAGTTGGTCTCATTTTTCTCAGTTCTTGAACTTTAGTGATGTCAGTCTCATTCATATAAAAAAAAAGATAAAGTGCAACCAAATAAAGTAACCATACGAATAAAGTACACAATGCAGATTTATTTACTTACACATAAGTAAACAGTAGCAGGTGAAATTGGTAACCACAGGTTCACAGGATAAGTCCTACGCGTTTCATCCCGGTAAGGGACTTCTCAGGGACAGTTTCTCAATTTTAAAACAAATACAAAGTGCATAAACCCCCCTTTCTCTCCATCTTCCTTACATATACCCTTCAATAAGTACAACAGTCTTCCTATTGGATGTTTTGTGCTTCTCTGGCTGATCTTGATACTTTCTTTGGTTACTTCCTGGTTGACGTCAGGAAGAACAAAACGAGACCAACAATTTTCTAAAGGCTCTTTATTTGGCTCCAAAGTGTGAGTGACCAATTGGCTCTTAATATACACCGTCACTTTATTATGCAGTTGTGCACTATGTTGTGCTGTTCTTGTTTTCCCTAGCTGGATTAACCCTATATATTGCACTTGCTGATAAGAATAACAGCATATGGTAGCTATTTTCTGGGAAGGTTATAAACAAGCTCTTTTTTTCTAAAACGTTTGTGTTATTTTTTAAAAAGAGTAGTGAAACAGCAGCCCATAAAAGGACCTAACTTATAGTGAAACGGCAGCCCATAAAAGGACCTAACTTTTACAGGCTCATTGTCATATGTTTTTATTTTAATTGAAATAAAAGGTTGTATATAATACTCCCTCTTTGTATATTATTCTTTTAGTTACTCTAGTCAGGAAGAGGAGTATTTGACCAAAGCAAACATTAAGACAACCATACTCATGGAACAAATGTAAGTCGGGAAATACACTAATAAGAGACGTTAACATACAGCTGTGTATTTAAAATAACTCACACAGAGGCAAATCTTTTTTTCAAAATCCATAATATATTTATGGCAATTAAGATATTTAAGTTCCAGCTGCTGTGCTAGTCTAAATGGGGGATATTTATCAATGCAACACAGGTGCTACTGTGTGGGGCAAAGTACTAAATGTTGAGAGATGTTCTATTTCTTTCCACGGTGACTGAACTTTATTTAGCACTTTGCCTCAGAATAGCACCTGATTTTGCCTTGATAAATCCTCCTATAAGAAGTTGAGTGAAGTTGTTTTGGTCTTGCAAACATGTGTAATTGACAAATGTATAGACAGATTGTTGTAGTGGCCTCCCAAACTCCAAAGGGGCACTTGGGAAGGAATCCCTGGAGTACGTTGGAAGAATGTTTTCATTTTCATGTTTAAGGTCAATTACATTTTCAGTTTATAGCCTTAGTAGTCATCTTAAATGGCTAATGCCCAGTATGGACTGTATGTTTCAATAACTCTACTCAGTAGATAGTAAAAGGAGAATTCTAAATCAATTTATTTTGAAAAAGAATGGTGTAACTATTACAATGGTCCAGTTGCTCCACTCTCTGACAGCACAGAAAATTCAAATAGGAAAAATGACCTTTCTAACTAGTTTTGATACACCATGTGCAATTTCCCCGTGGAACCACATCACCCTCTACTGGTTTATTTCCATATTACATGTTCTTTCAATTTTTTCAATGTAACATTTAAGATATACAAAATGCTGACACAAAAGATTGCTTTTTGTCAAAAAATCTAAAGTATATTTAATATAATTTTTACTGACAGATGGATATTTTCTAGGCTTTAATATGTCTTGAGGAGAACCTTTGATTGCATACTTTAATGGTAATATGAAATGCAAATACACCTCCCTAAGGAACACATCTAAAGACTACAATGATTAGATTTCAGCAGAATTATAGGGGGAAATGCATTGAGTCATCTTATCTATGCACTAATCAGAATAATAATCACAATCTGCCATGCACAGGCTTATTTCCTTAAAATATCTGCACACAAAGCATGTAGTATGCACACAGACACAGCACCTGATTGATTCATTTAGTTAATTGGAGAGGGCAGCTGTCATTCCTGCAATACATCTTGTGTCTACTAACAAGTGTCACAATTCTTCCAAAGAGATTGCCAAATCATCCTTTTGATAACTGTGCGTTGGCATCGTTCTGCAAAGCATGGATGTATTGTTCCACAAGCCAAGAACAAATATATAAATCTATGACTTGATTTAAAAGAATGCAGTAGAAACTAACCTTGAACTAAAGCATTTTGCCTTTGCTCGCCCAGGTAATAGCCATAATAACACAGGCACATTAAATGTGAGTGAAATAAATGATGCAGAATGCAACAATTATCTAGCATAATTAATGATATGACCACAACCCCCATGCTCCCACCTCCTCCCCTTTCTTATTATGTGAACATCATGAGTCACAATGTTGCAAACTAGTCTCATCAATGACAGGTGTGGATGGGAGAATGACTGGGGAACTGGCTTGGAATGGAGATACCGGGTTAGGCTCATTGCCCCTGGTGGAATGCTGAGGAGATGTTGCAGATCCTGGAATGTTGGTTGGAATGTGGCGACCAGTTTGTCCCAGACGCTTAATTCTGTCAACTTGTAGCTATCTCAGGAGACCTCATTATGAAGCAGGGTAAGGGGGTGGACACCCTGTGATCAAAGCACTCTATAGAAAAGCCAAGCACTTACAGTGTGACTGGTGCCAGCGGCCATAGACAGAACAAGAACGACAAAGGAGTGATAGGAAAATAATAGATCATTGCGAGAAACACTTGTTCATTGATAGAAGGACTGGGAAACTGTACATCCCGAAGGGAGGAGCTGAGCTCTATCAGGACTGTAGGGGCCACCAGCAGCCAGCATCCCTCGCACCGTGAGCTTCTCTACACTTCTGCGGAAAGACTCAAGCCGAGGGTCCAGAAGACCCCCGGGCAGAGCTTGAGTCCAAAGACCTCCAGGACTTGACATGAGGAACTTCTAGCTGTGTCTTTACCCCCAGGATAACCTACAGAAAGCCAATTCGGTAAGCAAGAACTGCTCTGTCTTTGTGTTTCTCTTCACTGAACAACTGTAGCATTGCTCTGCCTGTGTGTATGCAAAAAAAAAAAAAAATCTTTAGTGTGGCAAGGAAGTGTGTATATTGCCACGTCTGCAATAGGCACCTGCTGAGGGAGAAGTGTAGGATGATGAGATAGAAGGCAGGAGACAAGGGACATCTGCACCATTTGTCCTTAAATATTACTGTGCCTCAGCAAAACTTCACAAAAAAATAAATATAAAAATAATAATAATAAAAATAAATAATAATACTAATATATGTAGTTTTGTCTCTTATTAAGAGGTGAATTTGAACCTAAGCTGTGCATCCTGCGATGTGCTGTAAGTGCCTTCATAGGTCTCAGTGGAGATGTGCCGCATGTAAATTGAAAGGGGTGAGAAAAAAAAAGCGACATTTGTTGTACACAGTGTAGTTTGCAGATTAGATGTGGGAATTAATGCACAGATCTTGACAGAAATGACTGCAGCTGACCTTTCATAATAGAAGCTGCAACCTAGCACACAGCGAGGAGGGAGCTTGGCTGATAAGGGCTTTTGTGAGGAAATGCTCTTATGGCAATAGCTTGCATCGTGCCCAATGCTGCATGTCACTAGACTGGCATCGGGAGTCTGGTCCCCACGGCAGTCAGTCATTTAGACTCAGGAGTACCCTACAAACTGAAATTGTAATTACGTCAAAATGGTGAATGTATAGTGAGAGATCAGCACTATCCCAGAGGACAGCTCCAATCACTGGTACAAGATGCAGACTGATTGCTGAGAGAGATGCAGTCAGGTATGTCATACACTTCTGGAGCAGCTGGTCTATACACAGATTTTATTTTTAATTATTATTATTATTATGAAAAAGTATTACTGTCAGTGTTAGTGATGTTCATTTGGTGACTTTGGCTAACTGAATGCAAAATGCCTTAAGAACTAATCATTAATGTGTACCAGTACTGACAATTCTATCAGTGTGATAATCACAAACCACGCATGAAAGGTCAGTGAACACTAATTAAATTATGTATAAAGACGTAAGAAATAAAAACAATTTGTTTTAATGTCTGGCAACCCATTTCGGTATTTAAATCCAAAAATACTGGGCAGAGCTGCCCATCTAGTCAAAAAGTTAAAGAGGTTTTTTCTAATTTTGCATTGTGTTCCATAAAAACAAGCCAAGGTGATATACATGTTTTAATAAAGGATTGTACTGAGTGAGTAGCAGTTATTATACTTGTGACTTGTTTATTTTCAGGGCAAAAGGTTTTTATCCTTTCCTATTCTCCACATCACCTGAAATACCATCTTAAACAATAGGAAATGGACTGTGAAGTTTGGCTTGGAATTTCACTGATAAAAAACATACTTTTGTCCTGCTTCATTATATGTTTGGGCATTCATTTGAGGTAAGTTATGTTTTTTTTGTTGTGACTAGGCCTTTTTTTTGCCACATTTGAACCATTCAGCAGCAATAAAGTTATGTTGCTCTTTTAAACAATCCATCATTTGAATCTGCATTGGGAAAAGTGTTGGCTACATTGTTAAAATGACAACATATACAAAGCCAGTGACAAGTGACTCATAACTAAAGTATGCATTTCCACCTATCAGATATTAAATTCCTCACCCAAAGAGTGTTAGGTGAGGTTTAGTATATCATAAACGCAGCCTGTCACTATACAATCCTAACACTGACCATTTATGGTGTTTTTCAATAGATGTGTGTACATTTTTTAACTAACAAAACATCCTTAACGCAGTCACATGAAAGACTCCTGGTTACCCACTGTCATCTTCATTTTCAATACTATAATCTGCTTGAGAAGATATGTAAGACTCAGCACTATTCTAACTGCAACACATAAAACACAAGTCACAATTACGTGACACATAACTCACATTTTGCCATTGTAGTCCATTATAAAATAAAATTTTGATCTCATACATTATTCCTAAACTCAATACTAAGTACAGATATATATGGAAATATTACACTGGAATCTCATTTCCTTGGTCACTATATTGTCATGATATTTTATTAGCAATAAAATATTTGACCAGCCAAAAATAAAAAATAAATAAAAACAACAACTTTCAAGTGAATATGCAGTACACGAAAATACTATATTCTGCTCAATAAGTTATTAATCACATTGTTGACAGATTTATTTGTTGACAGCGTAAGAGTTAATTATATAATGGTTCTATTCCAATATATTGCCGTGTTTTTATTAGAAGGGAAGCAGAGGGTATTGACAGCTAATTTAGTCAATTCACTTACAGCATATGGGAACACTGTGCTAATATTGTCTTTCTATTCAATCCCAAGACCGATGCAGTAAGCTTTAGTTACTAATTTACATCAACAAAGGCAATCACAGAGTTTCAGTTTTATTGGAATGAATGTATTAGAGAGAATTGACAAGGGAATTGAACAGTTTAGAACAAAGTATCCAATTTAGAAAAAAAATAATAAAAAAAAATATCTAATTCATCTAATTTACAATATGATTATTTGGCCTCTAATTTGAAAGTCCCTTGACATTACTGTTAAACGTACACAAATTCACTAAAGTGAATTGTGGTGAATTGAAAACACAATTTGTGACTATAACGAAGTTGGATAATATTTTTACATAATCTATTTTAGCCTACATTTTGCAATTTTATGTTTAATTAAAACTTTACCCAGTTATAACAATATTTGCCTCCTAATTTATTCTCAAGCCATACTATATATTCAAAGTATAAACATGAGTCACTGAAATGTGAACAATTAAATGTTTAAAAATTCTATGTAGAGATTTTTTGAGTGGCTGACATTGTGGGCTTTATTTACTAAACAGTGAATGTAAGACCAAATTGCAAAATGTAGGCACAAATTTTGAATTGCAAACATTCTATAACTCAGCTACAGTCTAAACTTGGGTATTTTAATCTAAATTTTGTAGTATGTAATTCTAACTCTCTCTACAATTTGGTGTTAGTGAATGGGCCTATATATGTTCATTGATACTGTAATCATGTACGTCAGGGTTGCTCTAAGTTAGTCATAACTATCTCCACCTGAGGCAGGCTGTGTAAAAAAATTACATAAATAAATAAAGAAGCAAAGAAGGGCTGAAGCAATTTGCAGTCTGTTGTTTCTTAAATTCTAGCAATTAACAAACATATTATTCTGTTAACAGTTCATTGAATCTGAATAATACAATTGACTTCAATAAGGATATAACCAGAAGGTCAGTTAGGGGGAAATTCTTGTCACCCCTTTCAAGATAAAAAATGCTGCACCCAAGTTTCCTTTAGTCCAGCTATTTGGGAGAGCTGCAAATATACTTTGCACTGCACTCAACTGGGTCTCTACTGCTAGGGTAAAAATTTTCGGGTTATTAATCAAATCAGGAGTTGAGAAGTATTGACAAGACAATGCACAGTATTTTTTTTGTTCAAAATAAACAGCTTTTCCTTTTCGGTCTCTTCAATTCATAGTTTAGTAGATTACCCCAGTCTAAGTTACCCTATGTTGTGCTGGGAAATATTGTGAGTACTCATACTAATAGTATGTTTATTCACTAAAATGTAAAATGTTTGAAATTTAACTTGGGAAAGTAAATTTGTAGGTCAAACTAGCAGAATCTGAACAGTTTACAGTATTGAGTTATCTAGTCACCTTGGTTGTTGTTGTGTCCTAATATTGCATTGGTAATTCCTTACTATCAATATTTTAGACAATAATCTTGTAAACGATTATTCATGGATTCTTCTAGAGCATTCCCATAACGTGGCATCACTCAGTTCAAATCATTATTTAATATATAAAGCATCAGATACCTTTGTTTACAAGCTTGTGTTTCACAGGAAACATATTTTTCTGATCATCCACACCATGACATATTATCAATACCTCTGCTAATCTGCTATTTTATAGCTGACATGTTCTTAAAGTGGCACGACTCAGAGGTTTTCATTGTTGCTGGTTTTGATACACCAGATCATTACCTTACTTGGTTGATAGCTTTTCCTATCAACTGGCATAAACAGGTTATTAGATTGAAACATAAAAAAGGTTGTTGCCACATTTCAATTAAATATTAGTTTCAGAGCAAATAATATATAAAACAAAAGAACCCAGCAGAAGAGTGCCCGTTAAAGTTTTAGGTCTATAAATATGTGCAGAATTATCTATACTCTGATAAGTAATATGACATGTTTTTTTTGTCATGTAAGGTTAAGCATTTTATTTATGTCATCAGTTGCAATTGTTTGCAATATCCTACTGTATTTTCACACATATCTATGTATATGTTTCCAGAATCCCAAGGCACACATTTACTGTACTTCATTAATTCCTATTTTATATATATTTGATATTATTTTATTTATACACATACACCTAGTGACCAACCTAGGGATCAAATTAATAGTGTTACCGATTTCAAGTCACAATTATTTTCTCCTGATGTGCCACCTTCTTATGTAAACATATTATACCCTAACCTTTATACATACCATCTTCCTTTCAAAAAGCAGATATATTGTCATAAGTAATGCTCTTTTTCTTTTCTTTTTTTTTTGAATAACAAGTGTCACAATTTTAAGACTGAAAAATTAGATCAGAAAAAGGATACAAAAAAAGTGGTGCAAAGTGGACAATACTGGTCCACAACT